GGGCTCAGCAGAAGATTCTCAGCAGCTGCTGAGAGGAAACTCGGTCTCCCCCGCCCCACCGCCGAGGCGTGCACGACGCTGTAGGACCACCCCAGCAAGTCGGCGCCAAAGCCCGGCGCGGATTGGGACCCGGAGCCGCGCGTGCGCGTGAGCAGCGGGACAGCGCGCGAGGCCTACTGGGCAGCGTGACGTCAGGGCCGCTCCGCGCGACCCGTAGGACCTGGGCGGATCCTCCACCGAACGAGCTACGGCTTTATTCCCTGCTGAGAAAAGAAGGTAGTCTGATTTACAGTAATCCCCTTTCATCTGGGTAATGGGTTAATAATTGCAGCCGCCAATTTTCACACAATGCGAGGAAACTGAGGCACAGAGAGTTTGAGTCTCTTGCCCGAGATCGTACAGCCAGGAACTGGGAGAGCCAGGATTGGGACATTTAATTCATCACCAGGCTGGAAGTCTTCCTCAGGCTAATTGCTAGACTGTGAACTGTCCTGCCGCTGGTCTTTGACCACAGACCTCGCTTGCAGTGTCCTCGGATCCTTTTCCGGCACGTGGGACCTTCCTGACTGGACCCCTGCCTACACTTTCAACTGCATTTCCTAGTAAACTTCACACAGCCTTACACCATAGCCCTGTTACTCCTTGTTCCCTCGACTTGACCACGGTCCTGCCTCCCTTCTCTTACTGCCCCCACACCCTCCAGATTCAATCTGGAGTCTCCCCACTCTTCATGTCACCGCCACCGATATCCAAATTTACTACTACGGTCGTAGGAAAATAACTCTATAGCTGGTCCTCAGCTTCCAGCCACCACTCCCACAACCCAAGCTATTCTCTACAAGGCAGATTCTTGTGGTCTGCCAAAAATGCAAATCTAATTGTGCTACCCTCCACTGTGCTCCCCATTTCTCTTATGGCCTGCTGGTCTCCCCCTCAATACACGTCTCTTTGCCCTAATTTCTTAGCATTTATGCACTCACTCTACAATCTCACTACCCCCATCTTTTTCCCAGTTTCTCCAACAGACCAAGCTAGTTCCAGCCTCATAAACTGCACAGCTGGTCTCTGAATTCCTCTGGGAAGCCTTAGCTTGCCTTGATCCAAAGTACACCCTCATCCAAACCCTTATTTGTTTCCTCTTAGAGCTCTCGATTGCAGTTGTTTTTATTTGTTCCTTTCTCTGCTAATCTACTGTCTGTGTCTCCCTCTAGAATGTAGACTCCTTGAGGACAGAAACTGGGTCTGTCCCATTCACATCTGTATGCCCAGAAGCTAGCAGCGAAGACTCTCAGTAAATATTTATTGAATAGATGAATGCTTTATTATGAGAAGTACTTTAAAAATAAGGTACATCAATAATATTGAAAAGGATAGTAAACATCTTTATATGTATATGTATGAATTTATGCCAAAAATATATTGTTCCAAGACTATTCAATGGAGGAAAGAATAATCTTTTCAACAAATGGTATTGGGACAACTGGGTATCCACATTAAAAAAAGTGAATTTGGACCCTCTACTTCACACCATATACAAAAAGTAATTCAAAATGGATCAGATACCTAAATGTAAAAGCCGAAACTCTTAAACTATTAGAGGAACACGTGTGAATCTGTGTGATCTTCGATTAGGGAATGGCTTCTTGTATATGAAACCAAAAGTCCAAGCAATGAAAGAAATAAATTTGGCTTCATCAAACTTAAAAACTTTGGTCAAAGAACACCAGCAAGCAAGTGAAAAGACAATCTACAGAATGCATGAGAAATTTACAAACCATATATCTGATAGACTCTACTATCCAGAATATATTTTAAAAACTCCTACAATAAAAAGACAACCTAATTTAAAAGTAGACAAAAGATTTGAATGGACATTTTTCCAAATAAAAAATACAAATGGCCAATATAGCACATGAAAAGATGCTCAATATCATTAGTCATTAGGAAAGCACAAATCAAAGCCACAATGAAATACCACTTCAAACACACTAAGATACCTATAATTTTTTTTAAATGGAAAAGAACAAGTGGTAAGGATGTGGATAAATTGGAACCCTCATATATAAAATGGTGATGCCATTGTGGGAAAAAGCTTGGCAGTTCCTCAAAAAGTTAAGTATAGAATTTCCATATAGCCCAGCAATTCTACTCCTAGGCATATATCCAAGAGAAATGAAAACAGGTCCACACAAAAACTTGTATGCGAATGTTCACAGCAGCATTATTCATAATGCTACACAATAAAAAGTGGAAATAACCAAGTGTCCATCAACAGACTAATGGGCAAACACGATGTGGTCTAGTCACACAATGGAATATTATTCAACTGCAAAAAGAAGTGCCTGCTACAATATGGATAAACTTGAAAATATGTGAATGGAAAGAAGCCAGACACGAAGCCACACACTGTATGATTCAATTCATACTAAATGTCCAGAATAGGTCAGTCCATAGTAGACTAGTCGTTGACAGGGGATGGAGGGCACAGGGGAATTAGGACTGTTAGTAGTTGCAAGGTTCCTTTTGAGGGCCATGGAAATGTCCTGGAATTAGTGGTGATGGTACACAACACAGTGAGCATACTAAAAACCACCAACTCACACACTTTAAAAGGGGGACTTTTATATTCTATATGTCTCTAATAAAAATTCATTGTTAGGAAATATCAATGCAGAGCATTGGTTAGGAAGATCTGTTTGTATAGGAGGGAAAACACCATATGTTCATGTGTTTGCATATCCTTAGAAAGTTTGTAGAAAGATAGATACACAAGACACTGCTAGTACCTGTGACTACTTATGAAGTGAGGTGGAGAAATGGTACATTCCCTTTAGACTTCACTCCCTTTGGCCTTATTTGATTTTTTTCAAGATCATCAGTGTTTTTCAAGTAATTTTTATAATTAAATATTATTTTTCACTGTGGAAAACAGTATAGCAGTTCCTCAAAAAACTAAACAAAATTACCATAGGACACTGCAATTCTACTTCTGTGTATATTCCCAAAAATAGTTGAAAGCAGGGAGTTGAATAGATATCTGTACTCTCATGCTCATAGCAGCATTGTTCACAATAGCTGAAAGGTGCAAGCAACCCAAGTGTCCATTGGCAAATGAATGGATAAACAAAATGTGGTCTATCTCATACAATGGAATATAATTCAACTTTATAAAGAAAGGAAATTCTGACATGTGACAACATAAGTGAACTTGAGGACATTATGCCAAGTGAAATTAGTCACAAAAGAACAAATACTGTATGATTTTACTTATATGAGGTCTCTAGAATGGTCAAATTCACAGAGGCAGAAAGTAGAATAGTAATTGCTGGGGAGAGGGGATAGGGAGTTAGTGTTTAATGAGTACAGAGGTTTAGTTTGGGAAGACAAAAAGTTCTCGAAGTGGATGGTGGTGATAGTTGCACAACAATGTGAATGTACTTAATGCCACTAAACGACATTCTTAAAGATAGTTAAAATGGTAAATTTTATGTTATGTATATTTTGCTACCATAAAAGAAAAAAGAAAAAAATAATGAAAAACATTTAGCGGCAATACAAATGAGTTTCCTTTCTTCAGTTTCGGTTTTTTTCAAGAGTGACTTACAGTATTTTTAAAAACATTTTTAATGGGTGAAATCGGCCTTATTGAACATTTGGAAAGGACTCATCTGGCCCTTTCTACCACCCTGGGTTCTCCATTGCTGCAACGAATAATATGGTTTATAACAAAGAGTAGACGTGCTAACTCATATGCTGGTCTTGAATAATTGCTCTTGTTGTTGTTGTTCGGTGGTGTCTCAGGCAGAGACAGGAACTTGATATTTTGAAAAGATACCCCCTATGTTAGGAAGAACACAGAGTACTGCCTGTTAACCTTCAGTAATCCAGACCCTGTATTTTTCCAAGCACAAGTGTGTAGAAAGTGGTTTGGTGCAGCCAGAGATAAAGAAGCAGATGACACACATGCACTTGTATTTGTTTGCATCTGGGGGGAAATCCCACCAGCCCAGGTGTTGCTGGGTGTCCAGCACCTCTGATGGGCTGAAAGGCATCGTTGTGGATTTTGCATTATTAACTAAGTTCTGGCAGGAATGAGGATTGCCTGGGGTTGGGAATTCCAATGTGCGTTTTTTTCCCCAGCACCACCAAGCGATTAACTTAGCATCAGACCCCGAAGGTTAAGGGCTCAGTACTACAAGACTCTACCCTATGCCACTTCAGATGTCAGTTGCAAGTCCAGGTTGTCACCTGTGTCTCTGAGTGGTAGTAGATTGGTGGTTCCCGTGGCCCCTTCCTCAGATTTGATTAATTTGTTAAGAGTAGCTCACAGAACTCAGAGAAATATTTTGCTTACTAGATTACCCATTTATTATGTGAAAAGTTGGCATAAATGTATCCATTTTAAAATGAAGTTAGGACAGCCATTCCAGAGGA